TGCTTCTGCACCAAAACTGTAGTGATGTCTAATACCATTATTTCTTTTCAAAAATCACGGTATATTTATAAGACAATCAAATTTTAAAAGGCAAATAACATTTCAGTATTATCTGAAAATAGTTCTGATCTTGAAAAACCCTCAAAGGATAACGTGGTCATCCAGAGTTCCTGGTCCACATTTTAAAAACCAGTGTCTTACATGACTATATTTGTTGCAGTAAAAATCTGAAGAACAGGATAATATCAATCAAGAAGAGAATACACTGGTAAAAGTTACATATTACACACACCTGTGGAAGACTACCTGGATGACTCTCCTTAAATAAAAAGCAATTATCTCCATTTTGGCTAACCCTGGCCCTATCTCCATGTACTGATATGTACATAGCTGCTAGGTTATTTCTTTATCACTTCAGTTGGCTTTAAGAAATATAAACAGGACTGATTAAGGTGCTGATGCATAACCTTTGAAACTAGGTGACAGTACACAGTCACTGTTTCCCCACACTTTGACTACCAAAAAACATGGCTGAGCTGGGCAGGATGAAGAGCCACTCTCCATAGTCAACTAGGATGGGCCTCAAGGATAAGAGGTTGTGGCTTTCCAGGACAGAAAAGTTTACATACAAGAACTAAAGCCACCAACCTCAAAACATCAGATGATACCTCAATTGTGTTATGAGAGATTATTCTTTCTGCGTATCCTCTCCTCTGCATATTGCAGACGTGATCTCAAGCCAAATATGCAGCCCAGCTCATAGCACTCAGGTACTTTCCACCTTTCTCAGTTACTCATCCTCAAGCCACTCCCTTCTTCACAAGTTAATAAAATTCAGGTTGGGCCCCGAGTTGAACTACTATCTGGGCTGAACAACTTAGGATCTTTTGGACCCCCACAACTGTATATATGTGTCTTAGTGTCTATATTCTCACTGTGAGTTGCACTGAAAGTGGTAGATTGGAATCAACTTGCTAGAATTACAACAATTTTTCTATGGGATTACAAATATAAGCCTTCGGGATTGAGAAGAAGTCTGGGAAGGGTTCCTTATACATACCAGTGTCTATGAAAAAAAGACAAAAATCTTTGAGGATATGTTGGTTTTTATACCAAATAAGATCTTCTGAATTAGTCTTATAGCACAAAATATGTCTCCTTATACCTAAAAGTATGCTATTTATGAACATCTGAATTTTTAAGGTTAGGTTCTGGAATTTTCTTAGATAAAATTATAGAAACAAACTAGCCTGCAGAACACAACAGATTTTTGTTCTGACAGAAATGGGGAAACAGGGCTGGGAAAGTGGCTCAGTGCTAGACAGCTCTTGCTTTGCATGCATAATGACCCAGCAATCCACAAAAAAAAAAAAAAAAAGAAAGAAAAAAAAGGAAAAGGCTGAATTTAACGTAATAAAAGAGAAATAAGGAACATATAGATTTTTCTAATTAAATAGCTATCTGTAGCTATCTTTTAGAACAAAAATATTAAGCACAGAATAGGCAGAAAAAGGTCTGCTGTGCATATAAAGCTGTCCTTGCAGTTGACTACTCACAATTTTGAGATGGATCAAGCCTTTCAGTACACAGAAGACATATCTTCCTAGACATAAAAAAAAATTCTGGTACTGGGGACACACTAGTAGCTCAAATATGAGAGGAATAAAAAGAAAAGTAAGGAAAGGCAATAAGATCTCACAGACTGAATATAGACTATCAGTATTTGGCATAATGGAACCAAAGGAAAACCTGAACAAATCCTCTAGTTTCATTTGCTTTAGTTACTTGCTTTCAATTGACTTGAAAAATTACTAATTTTGATACAACTGAATACAAGTGAACAACATGTTATTACTCTCCCACTAGCTTTGCTTGCATAAGACACCTCTGACATGGGGGATATGATCATCAAGGTTGCCTAGGTTACTTTTCAGGGAAGGCTGCTTTTGTGAAAAGCACTGACTCTTCACTTGGGCCTTAGCAGGTACTGAATACAAGGTGAAAAAGCTTGGCATCTCTGCTTTTTCTACTATTTGCCTCTTTTGCTATCTTAGCCTTTGGATTAGACTGTTTTCTGCTTAACTCTGCATGTAGATATGTCAGCCAATTAATGAAATGTTATCCAAAAGTAGCAACATAAAATTGATTTACCTGAAACTTCCCTTAATCAGTCTCCTTACCCTTGAAAGGCTAAAGATGCCAAAATAAAAATAAGTGATATTTTCAAGAATCATGACAACAGATTATCAATCACCAGGTATTATAACATCCTATTCCAGACCACCAAACACTCAGAAGTTTCCAGTCATCAATCCTTTCCCTAACCTTAGCAACTTTTCTTTCCTCTTTACCTAAACATAAAAAAAAAACTTGAAATATTTCCTAAGTCAAAACGATTTTTTAGGGACTGGGGCATTGCTCAATGGCCAAAGCACTTGCCTAACATCCTCAAGGCCCTGAGTTCCACTCAGGACATCACAAAAGGAAAAAAAAATTGGAATTTTCTTTGTGGAGGGCACTAGCTCACCATCTTCTGTCTGCTGACTTAATAATTTGTCACTGACTCACTGGGCCTCTCTGGGTTGCTTTCCAAACAAAAAGTACATGCATTTGGGTTCAGTAACAGTAACAACCAAGATGGGAAACCAGCCTCCATGCTGAATGGATAAAGAAAATATAATGTGGGGGCTGGGGATTTAGCTCAGCGGCATAAGCGCCTGCCTTGCAAGCAGGCAGTCATGAGTTCAATCCCTGGTACCGTTAAAAAGGAAAAAAAGACCAAAAAGAAAAAAAAAGAAAATATGATGCAAAATAGAGAATTATCCAGGCATAAAGAAGAATGAAATCCTATCAGGTGGACAGAACTGTAGGACATGTTTTAAAAAAAAAAAAAAAAACAAGCCAGACCCAGAAAGTCAAGTACCACATGCTCTCTCTCTAATACAGAATTTTTAAAAAAGTGTACCAGAATTTAGAATAGTGATTACTATAATCTGGCAACTGTGAGAAGACAGTGAGGATAGGAGAGGCTAGATTTGATCAATGTACTCTGTACATATGTGTGGAAGTAACACACTGAACATATATATATATATATATATATACACACACATACATATACATGTAAATATATATACATATATACATACACATACATATACATGTAATCAATACATGCTAATTGAAAATAAAATAAATGTAAAAAATAATCTTTGAGATAAACATTCAAATAGTAGTGAATCTAACTGCAATAAAACTAAGAAACACCATGCTTTCTGAAGAGTTTTGCCATAATAATCCTTCATATACTCTCCAAAGTAAAAAAGATTTTAGATAACATTCCATTTTCAACCACTCTATCTATAAAGAGTAAAAACATTATTTATAAAAAAATCCACTTCTATGGTCTCAAAATATTTATACTCCATAGAAACAGATTTACTCCCTTAGAGATTCACTCCCTTACAGTCCTCCAGTGGCTCCATCTATCTTTCAAACTGTATACTTCATGCAACTCTTTGTTGAAATATGGTAAGGTGCTCCACAGTCACAAAAGCACATGAACAACTTGAAAGTGCTTTTACTTTGCAGTGATTTCTGAAAGTGTTTGCAAACAAGTTTTCACTCCCTTTTGTCATTGTTATTCTTTCTGGCAGTTTTGTTTCCTGACCACTGAGGTCAAATTACATCAGAGAAACCTCACTGGGGCTTACCATACAAATCTCTCCATTTATAAGTATGTGATTTTTCACTTAAATTCTTAGTCTTCTCAGAAGTCCTGAATCTGACTCAAGTCTTTACTAGGAAAGTGAAAATAATATCCATAAATCTTTTTAAAAGAATAGCTACTAATCCACTAAGGGGTTTATTAATTAGTTGAAAAAACTCTTCTGGTACTTGTGCCATGTAACTGAAAAAACAGGTCACATTGATACAGGGGAAATTCCCAGTCTTTAAGATGTCTGGTACGAATTTGTGTTCTCTAAAATCAAAAAGTGAATTCTAGGAACAACGGAGGATAAGAGTAGAATACATTTACTGGGGAAAGAAAGCATCTAAGAGAGACAGAAAGGGTCCCTACTGAGACCTTGCCTTTTCTAGGGATTTTTTATAGCACTAAACCATGAAATAAGGCAGGACCAATGTGGAAAAAAATGGGCAATCACAAAGTGGGCATGAGGTGGGACAAAACTACAGCCAACCAATAAAGAGTACGAACATAACTTCACAGGTAATACTGAATAAATTGGGGTCAAATGGGAAAGCAACTCACATAGCAAGTTGGTATGAAACAGAACAGGGGCTTTTCCTGAAGAGTGTTGGGTCAGTGGCTCTTCCTGGCTTTCTCAAAGAGATTCATACCTATGTAGAATATTAATCACTGTTGTTTAACCTTGGGGGAAGATTGTGGGAAGATTTATTTCCTCTTTTGTTTTCAGGTCTGGCCCTCAGCTGTAGGTGTCTATATACCTCTTTCACATTGGCTGTTTTGAGAGCCTAAATTTGTCTGTCTGTCTATAATTCTAACTTAGCTGTCTATAACAGTATTTAACTTGTGTCTCTCAGAGAAGGACAGAGAAGAAATCTTGATAATGGAAGCATTACATCCTTGATACATACAAAGGATTCTAAACAGCATCTTTACATTTGTTTAAATATAAGCTATTAACTTGGGTCTGTTTCTTAAACTTTTCCAGGAAAAAGTTAATTATTAACACCAAGAGTAAATGAGGTTTTCTAGGCAGTAGTTTGTTTTATTGATTTTTACGTTTACAGAAACTGCATCTTTTTCAGGAGCAAATGACATCTGGAGTTAACTGTAGCCATTAGGGTGGGGCATTAAAGCCCTGAGACAACACACTGCACCAGCAGCTAGCCTTCAACCAGCAAAAACAACAGGTAGCTGTTAGGTTTTCTGTTGCAACAGAGAAGCAAAAGGAAAAAAGAGGCCTTTATTGAAGACACAAAGAGGAGTGCACAACTCCCAGGGCTCCTCTTACCTGAGACACAGGGACCTGGTGTTTCTGCAGACTTTGGCTAGTGGTAGAGTTTGAAGGGAACGTATTAATGACACATTAGGAACTGACTGGAGTTTTCTTTGCACATGCAGGGTAAGAGGAAGTTGTATTCAGCGCTGAGGGGGAAAAGAAGAAGTGCTCACTGGGGAGATAAGCTGATGTTTTCTGGCCTTCCACCAGGTTAGACCACAATCATAATACTCAGCAATTTATACTCAGGCAGAAAACTATTATTCCCATCTTTTTGTTGTTAAGAAAGAGCAATGACTCTCTTAGACTGCTCCCTGCTGAACAGGGGTGGCAAGCTGGGGTTTAGCAGAGCTGACAGGATGAAGATTAATGCACATATAGAAGCTGGTGCCTCATGTTTCCGTAAGGACAACTTCATTGTTGATGAAGGCTCATATCCTAGATTGGAGGAATCTTGGGAAAAAAATTTAAAAAGACAAGTTGCTACAGGGAAGCAGGTTATTATCTTAAGTAAAGGACCCAGAAGAGGTTGAAAAAAGAACACATGATCTGAATGTGTCATTCCACCAGGGCCATGATGAAGAGGAAGAATATCCACAGGCTAGCAATTGGTGATTTTCTTCTACTTTAAACATAGTCTATGACAATACCTGATTCATTTATAAAGTAGCAGCATTCCTCTTCCAGCTTGGAACAGGTGCTACCTTTTTCAGCAATCAGGACCTCAAGAGCATGGCAGTTTTGAAGAGTAACCACTACAAGGCTATTAATTTGGTTTTGGAGGATGCATATGGATACTAATGTTATCTGTGGGTAGAATTCGAAAGAGAGCTGGTGGTAAAGATGAACAATGTATACACCCAAGCCGTCCCCTCCAGCCCCAAAGCCAGCTCTCAGTACAGAGAGAATGCCCACATCAGTTAGGACCGGGATGTGGGTTGCTCTTGTTTTTCTGGTGAGATGTATATACTGGGATTGAGATAAGAGAGAGATCTCTACAGAGTGTGCAGAACTTATCGTCAGAGCCAAAACAAGAACCAGGTAAAGTTCCTGTCCACTGAGGAGGAAAGCAAGTATAAGCTCCTGTCTTGCAGCCTGTAAACCATCATCTGGTTAGGCAGATGGCCACGTTTTGTGTGTTTGTGACATAAGGAGTGCAGTGGAGAAGGTCTTCCAGCTGACGAGAGTTTTTATACTGAGAGACTAAACAAGTAAGATTAGTTGACCATTGTTGAGAATTGTAAATACAGAAGTCCTATTATGGCTGGGTTAAGTGAAAAGGATTCGTGGAAAGTATTCCAGTGTATAGGAGTTGCCATGTAAAATTTTTGTCTGTATAGAACACAGAGCCAACATCCTTTGAAGCTTGAGGAGTAAGAAATGGTGCCATATACATGAGTGAGAAGCTGAGTAAAAGGAGGAGGTTAGTTTTGTAAGACAGTATATAGTAGTAAGGTTGGGTGTATGGAGCTGTCAATGACAGGCAAAGTAGTTATAGGTTTGCTCCTTAAGGTGAGATAATTACCCTGTGGTGGATCCAAAGGGTAAAACCATAGGCCTCAAGTTTTACTCAGAAGATATTGGGGGTCTGATGCATTTGAGATTATAAGTATTACTCGCCTGGAGTAGTTTTCTTTGACATCCTTAATCTGAGCTGAGATAAATGGATCTGATCAGTTCCACCAAGTTCCCCTAGTTCCTGAGTTTACAGCAATGGATTCACATCACCATTTATCAACATAAAGTAATACGAATCCACACATGACCACTGATATGTGAATGGTTGGGTGATTGTAACTAGGCCATTTTAATGGCAGCAGATATCTACAGGACAACTAGAGTCACAATCTATGGCCTTTGTTTTTGTCCCAAGTCTGAGTACAAGGCACAAAATGACAGCAGGGGATGTCAAAAGTGAGTTTGGGGTTAGAAGGAATGAAGTTGTGAGAGGCAATTATCCCCGCTTCTGATAATGTAAAAGTGTAGGCAGGACTTGACAGTGCTCCAAGGATTAGGCTGGAGAGAGTGAAAAGCATGAAGAATGTAAGGCCTAAGAGTTGAATCATGTTTGGGAAATGTTGTAGATTTCAAACACAGGATACTTTATCAGGCAAGAGCAAGCATAGATTTCCACTATGATTGCCCTGTAGACGAGAAGAAAGGCTACTTTGTGTACAGTGTGAAAGTCTTTTGATAATACTGCCCAGAACCCAAGAGCAAAAAGGAAAACTATTAAGACAAGAAAGAGCTGTGACTCAAGAGAGTAGCAGTGTATTAGTCAGGTTGGTAGTTTATTGAGGCGTTTTAGTGAGGCACAGGTGTGTGGGAGACAGATGTGATGACCAATCAGGATGTTTGGAGTCAAGGGTCTTAGGGTTAGGAGGGCACTGCTTAGCTTGACTAACATGGAACCAGGATCGTAGTCCAGTGACCTTGACCGCTATCAGAGTTGTGAGGAAGACCAGGTAGGGGTCACTCCACTTTGGTGGTAGCCTACGGACTTAGAAGACTTTAGGTAAATTAGGTCTCCCAGGGATATGGGAGAATCTGGCTTGGCCCCATAAAAAGGGTGAGAGAGGCAGAGATCAGCATGTTGCCATAACAAGTGTTGGACCAAGGTGAGAAACGGGATATAATCAGCAAGAGGAGAGAGATTTTTGGGAGGTAAAAAGATTGTGGAGTAGGACCATATATGAGTTCAAAAGGGCTCAGAAAGGTAAGAGCCTGAGGAAGTGCTCTGAGCTAGGCTAGAGCTGAGGGAAAAAGTTCAAGCCAAAGTTGTTATATATCTAAAATGAGGTCTGTGAAGTGTGTTTTTAAGAGGCCATTTACCTTATCTACTTTTCCTGAGGATTATGGGTGGTATGGATTATGTAGGCATAAGTGACATGTAAGCTTGAGGATACATGTTAAAAGATTTGAGAAGTAAAGGCCGAACCATTATCTGATTGGATATTCTGAGGGAGACCAAACCTAGGAATAATTTCTTGTAATTGGGCTTTAGTAACTACGTAAGAAATTTCCCTGGCCATGGGAAAGGGTTCTTCTATCCATACTGAAAAGGTACACACAAAAGTCAGAAGATAGTTAACGATTTTGTGGCAGGGAATGTGTGTGAAAGCTATCTGCCAGTGCCCACAAAACTGGTGAGTAGGAAAAGAGTGGAGGTACATATCCTTAGAATAGCTTTTAGCAAAGAGTTGACAGGTGTGTCATCTGGTAGAGAACAGTCCTCAGAAAATGATGTGTGAGCACCAGGACTAAGAGTCAGTATACTGCCTGTGATCCCACATGAAAACAGTTGTGTAAGTCAGTGATGATGTTTAAGGCTTGATGATCTTGCAGAACAAGTTTTGACCCTTGGAAAATCCATCCAATTGTTTTGTGTATAACCTGGTCTGTGTGAGAAGGATATGGACATTGTGTGCTACGGCTTGTGTACCTGCAAAGGCTTTATTCTGAGCAATGGAATCTGTAGAATTTTGGTGTCCCATGCAATGAATAACTGTTGCTTGTTTTGGAAGCTGTAATGCTTCTAGGAGTTTAAGGATGTGAGGTACATTAATGATGGGGGTTCCCTGAAGGTTGATAAAACCCCTTTCTTGCCAGATGGCAGCATGGGAGTATAAAATGCTGAATGTGTACTTTGAATCAATGTACGTATTTATGATCTTGTCTTGTGCAGTGTGATACCCTAAGTAAGAGCAATAGTTCTTCCCTTTGTGATGATGTCCCAGGTGGTGGTGGATTTGCCTCTATGACTTTTGACTGGTTAACTGTTGCATATGCATACCCTGCTCTCTTTTGTCGGCATCGGTAGAGCTGCCATCTATGCACCACATGTCAAAGGCTAAAGAGAGGTGTATTAATTTTTCTTTCTTTCTTTTTTTTTTTTTTTTTTTGGTATGAGGGATCAAACTCATGACCTTGCACTATCCAGGAAAGCACCTGAGCCACTGAGCTAAATCCCCAGCCCCAAGAGGTGTGTTACTAATGTGAGGAAAAGGGGTGGGAGTCATCTATAGGATCTCAATGCAGTCATGGTGGAGGTTTCCTTCTGAGGTAGGGAGCAAAATCGCTGGGTTGAGGGGGCTATTGGTTGCAATACAAATGGAAGAATCCTGAGAGAGGACTAGATGTATCTATTGAAGGCAAGAAAGGTTCATCAGAGCAAGCAGTGATTTATATGAGATAAGCTCATTTAGATTATGAGGTGAGGGTACTGTAATAGATTGTCCCAATGTGAATTTTTTTTTGGTACCAGAGATTGGAGCTCACGCTTGCCAGGCAGGCGCTTATGCCACTGAGCTAAATCCCTGGTCCTTCCAATGTGAACTTTTTGGCTTCTTGTATCAGTAAATTTGTGGCTACAAAAGCTCAAGAGACAGGGTTCCCAAAACCGTATATTGTCTAACTATTTTGACAAGTAGGCCACCATTTAAAAAGTCCCTTTCTGTGTCCTAGTACACCTATAGCATTGTGACCTTGAGAAGCTGTGTACACAGCAAAGGGTTGTGGGGGACAGGAACAGTGAGGGCTGGGGGCCATAAAAGACCCTCTTTTCGTTTATAAAAAGGAAGAGTGTATAGGTATAGTGGGGTCCATTGGCTTTGATAAAGTGCTCTTGGAAGCTTTGTAGAGAGATTGAGCTAAAGTTGCAAAGTTTATGTGGCACAGAGGCTAAAGAAGTTAGCTAAGCCAAGAAAGGATAGAATCTGCTATTTGGTTGTGGGCACTTGGAGATCTCAAAGGATTGCTTTTATGATCTGCAGTAATGGAATATGTAGTAGGAGTGAGAATGAGTCCCAAATATTTGACATTTGGGGAAGCTTCTTAAGCTTTAGCAGAAAAGACTCTATCTGTGGTTGGAGAAAAAAATTGAGGAGAGTGGCCATATGTTGTAGGGCTAAGATGTAGGAGGATAAACACAGGAGAAGATAAGCAACATATAGGAGATGCTGGGTTTGAGATCAAGAGCTGTAAGGTAAGCAGGAAGTGCTTGGCTAAAGAAATGAGGACTATCTCAATTCTTGAGGGAGCACTATTCAGGTCAGTTGAGATCTGAGTGTGTCTGGGTTGGTCCACATAAAAACAAAGAAGTCCTCATAATCAGGGTGTAGGGGAATGGTGAAAAAAGCATCTTTATTTAGGACTGTGAAGTGAGTCATGCAGGGAGGAACATGAGAAAGCATACTGTAAGAGTTTGGCACCACTGGATGGATTGGGATAATAGTACTGTTGATCATCCTAAGGAGTTATACCAGGACAGGAGAATGGGAGTACTGTAGGGTGAATGGGTAGGTTTGAGAAAACCATTGTCCAGAAGGTACATGATTATAGGTTTGAGCCATCACTGATGTTTGGGAGCTATAGGGTATTGAGGAACACAAGGAAAGATTAAAGAGTCCCTGAGGCAGATTAATACTGGCATAGCATGGATAGCATTGGTGGGGTTGGAGGTGTTCCAGACTATAGGATCAACAAAGGAAAGAAGGAGAGGAGCAGATGGGTTGGTGGTACACTGTGATGGTGTTTGGAGGATGAGAGCCATGAGGATGGAGGAGGTAAAGGAGAAATTAAGCCTCTGGAGAAGATCCCTACATAAAACGGGTACCGGACATGTTGCTATTACTAGAAAGCTATCGGTGAAGAAGGGAATTTGGAACCTGAAGAGGATGGGTCCTATATGAACAAGCTGTATAGGTTGACCATGAATACCCACTATCAAGATGGGATCTAGTACAGTGGCCTAAAAACTCAGGAAGAGCACCTATGTGGTCCCAGTGTAAAGAGAGTGTCTTACCTGAGATCTCCAGTGAGACTCAGGGCACCAAGAATACCTTAATAGGGGCCATTAACATCAAGCTTCATCAATCTTCTTCAGTGGCAAGTCCAAGTAGATTACCAGTGATAAGTCCAGTGGTGACAAAATCACCTGTGAGGGCAACACATTGGTGGATGGCTTACCCGCTCTCGGGTGGCTAGGACAGTTGCACTTCCAATGATCCTTGAAGTTGCAGAGGGGGCAAGGCCCTGATGAAGGTGCTGGGATGGGGCATTTTTGAGACCAGTGTCCTTCTTTGCTGCACTCCAGGAGGGGCTCAGGCAGCTCGACCTTGTTTTGTTTACCTTTCTTAGGAGCCCCAAGCACCACTGCTAAGAGATCAGATTTATATTTAGTAAGTTTCTTTTCTTTTTGTCTCCTGTTCTTCCTTTTGTTTTTGATCTCTACTGTTGAAAACACGAAAGGCATCATTAAGGTCTCCCTGTGGGGTTTGAGGGCCATGCTCAGCCTTTTGTAGTTTTGCCTGAATGTCAGGGGCAGACCAGGAAATAAAATAGGGATTAATAACAATTGTCCCTTCAGGAAATTCTGGGTCTACATTAATAAACTGAATTAGGGTGTCACTAAGTTATGTGAAGAGCATAACAAGGTTTTCATTCATCTCTTGGACCTGTTCTAAAAGCCTGCTAAACTGTTTGTGAGCTACTTTATTAAATCCCACAATTATACATTTAATCATATTATGTACTTTGTAAGAGCACTCTCCATTTCAATAATTTCAATTAGGGTCTTTTTCAGATACCAGGGTGAATTTCAACAGTATTTGCCTTATGTCTACAATTGGTTTCCTCTCCAGCCACTTGCCATAATTGAGTTCTCTGTTGTGAGGTGATGGTGGTGTTTAGAATAACATAAATATCCTTAAAACGTAAATCATAACAATTACTTACAAATTCAAACTCTTTAATATAAATTTGTGGGTCAGTGGAAAGGGAAAGAACTTACCGTTAATCTGGGATAGATCAGCAAGGGAAAAGGGAATGCAGATATGCATTAGTCCCTTGGGACCAGCCTTTTCCCAATGAAAGAGTAGGGATAGGTGCTTAGAAGACTGCTGAGTGCAAGGTGTAGATGGCTATTGGCCAGCCAATCACCCAGAAGGTGTCTGTGGGCAGTTACAGGGTGATCACTATAAGATGCTCACTTGTCACCATGTGGGACTGGGTACCATGTGGCCCACAAGATGGTTACTATTGGTCACATGATGAAGGATCATAAGATGGTGATGGTTCACCATGGGACCGGCAACAAGATAGCTGATGATCACATGATGAGGGATCACAAGATAGCAGCTGTTTACTATATGGCCTGTCACAAGATTGTGGTGGGCTGTCACATGGTGGAGACCAGAAGATGGTGGCAACTCTTCATGTAATTCACAGTAAGATGGCTGCAAAGGACCACATGGTATGGGTTTGCAAGATGACAGTCAAATACTATGATGCTTACTAAGTGGCTGAGAGATGTGAGATCAATTGTGAACAAGGGGAGAAAATGGAGCTGGGGGAACAGAGGAGGAGGAAGAGGTACTGTCAGATGGGATAGATGGCTCAGGTTGAGGAGAATGAGGATTCTGCGATTGGGAGAATGAATTACAGGAAGAGTAAGAGGCTGTTGGGCATGAGGAAAGGGAAGAGGAGGGGACAGGATGCTCGGGAAGCTCTGGTCAAGAAGACTGAAGAGTTTGGGCTTGGGGGTATGGAGGAGGAGAGACAAAGACAGAAGACACATCATCTAAGGAAGTCTGGTGGGGAGGGAGAATCTGGTGGGGCAGTGTGATCCAGAAGTATTTTGCCCACCTTACATGACTGAAGAAGAGATGGGGGCATCTTCAGACTAAAAAAGGCCTGAACATAAGGGATCTCTGACCATTTGCTATTGTGATGAAAAAAGTTATCTAAATCTTGAAGGATACAGGGGTCAAAAGTTGCCCCATCAGGCCATTGGCTGCTATTGTCCAGTTTGAACATCAGCCAAACCACCTGGCAATAAAAGATCAGACTTTTGGGTTTTACAGTCTCCCCAAGACTAAGGGAGCCAAGACTACAAACAAGACAACCCAGTAGTGTCTTTTTGTGAACAGGAAGAAGTATTTCCCATAGTAACCAAATTAGAGGTGAGCCAAGACCTACAGCTAAAATAGTCTGGGTCACACTTTTCAAAGTCATCATCACTCATTTCAAGAGTATGACAGAGAAAAACCCAACACCTGTTCTCATCAGCTATCATTCACAGTGCAAGGCAGGGAGTCCCAAAGGATGGAAGAGTATTAGCCCTGCCTCAGGACTTAAGAGTAGTAGCTCTGCTGAAGGTCCAAGGGATACACAGGAGATCTCCCAATGTGGGCCCATACATTTCTGAGACTGACAGACTGAGAGATTGAGACAGGAAACCCCAAACTGAGAGGTGGCTCACCTATGAGGAATGAGGTGGATCAGTGTTGGATACAAGCTAGCAACAGCAAATAAGCAGGTCCTTGAGGGAAGTAAAGTGGCTTATAGGCGCAGGGAACTCAGAGCCACAGGTAACACCCAGGAGTCATACACCGTGCTGATCTGAGTCACTGCAAGAAAATGTTAGGCTTTCTAGCACAATAGAGAGGCAAAAAGAAGAAGAGGCCTTTATTGAAGATGCACAGAGGAGGGTACAACTCACAGGGCTCCAATCACCTGAGACAAAAGGAGCTGGGGTTTATAGGGATTTGGGCTAGAAGCAGAGTTTGAAGGGTGGGCGTTAATGACACATTAGGAACTGACTGCAGTTTTTTTCATATGCACGGTAAGAGAAAGAGGAAGTTGTATTCAGGGATGAGGAGGAAAAGAAGAAGCAGCACTTATTGGGGAGATAAGGTATTGTTTTTTGGCATTCTGCCATGTTAGACCACCACCGTAATATTCAGAAATTTATACTTGGGCAGGAACCTATCAGTAACAAGAATCATGTAATGTTGATCTAGTAGGCAAAATTTCTCAAAATCGACCTTCCAAGAGAGCTATAATCTTAAATCCTAGTCATTTACTATGGTGAAAAATCTACTCTTTATATACTCTTGATAATGGTTACTTGAATGGCACAATTAATGGAAAAAATGAACTCTAAGTGCCAGTGCTAAGAGCAAAGCATCGTTGGAGACACTGAAAAGAACTATCCAATAATTTAATGCTCCTAAATTGGCTAATTTAGCCAATTAACTCATTTAAATATATATAAAGACATTCATAGCACTTAGTGTCCATTTTATTATATTAATTACAGTATTTATACCAGTCAAGTAACCACCAAAAGTGCCTCTTGGAAAGCTGATATTTAAATAAATGTAAAGATACTGCTTATAAGCCTCCCTTAAGTGTCCAGACCATGACACAAGCAAGTACAACTGAGCCTAGGAAATTCCTGAGGTGAAGAGATAAAAGCTGAAAATCCAGGGAAAAGAAGGCTGATACAACTGCAAATAAGAATATTCAAAAGACTATCCCTAAGTGTATGCATGAAGCAACTATCCAGGGCAGGAGAAAGAATCACTTGAAACAGAACAGCTTTGCATCACTAACACTGGGTCAGGAAGAGTAACTGTCATCAACAACCAGCACAGAATCACTTTTCCTATACTTAGGACCACTCTGGCTCTACCTAACAAATCTTAATAGCAAAACATGAAAGGATCAAACTATTTCCTTGCAACTGTATCATATTCTAGCCCAAAAAAGTTCAAGAAAGCTGATAGATGTAAAAAAAAAAAGAATCTAGCAACCAACAAGGTAAAATTCACAAGGTTTGAATACAAACATTCCAGCAATACAAAGACACTTGAAAATACAAAAAGAAAAACAATATATTTAAACCCAATGAAAATATGACATGTCATAATTATCATATAAAGACATGAAACAGCTATAACATATTTTTTCAAAAATGTGTGTCAAGATATATAAAAAAGAACCTAAATTAACATTTCACAGATGTAAAACATGGTAACTGAAGTGAAAAGTATAACAAATTGAACAAATGACATATTAAACAATGGAAGATATTCAAGAATTTGAAAAAATATCAATAAATATCAAAAATAAAACAGAGAAAAAGTGACTTGTCCTTTTTCACTGTTGATGGAAATGCAGACTGGTACAACCACTGTGAAAATCAGTATGGAGATTCCTTAAAAAGCTAGGATTAGAGGTCATTCAACCCTGCTATTTGTCTTCTAGATACCTTCCCAAAAGAATTGAAAACAATATACCACAGCGATATATGCACACCTACATTTATAGCAGCAGTTTGTAATAGCCAAATGTTGGAAAAATTTTAAATGCCCATAAACTGACATTTAATGGATAAAGATGATGTGGTTCTTTTATACAATGGAGTACTACTCTGCCATAAAAAGGATAAACGACACATTTCTAGGTAAATGGATGTATCCTGCAACCATTATTAAAAGAAATAAATCAGGCACACATGTAAATGCTGCACTGTTTCTCTGGTATGAGACGCCAAAAGTGTAAAATAAGGACCAAAATGTATAACAGGTATTGTGAAATAGGAAGTAAATGTTCACATGGGAAAAGGAACAAGGAAGGGAGAAGGGGGGGAAGGAAAGAAGGGAAAAGTAAAAAAAGCAAAAGAAAAGGAAAAAAACTAAAAAAAAAAGCCTTCTGTAAATGGGAAGAGAAGAAAGGGTTGAAGGAGGGTAGGGAAATGGGATAAAAAGAAACAAGTTATACCATGTTCAGGTACAAATTCTCTATGATGAACGAGATCACTCTGTATATCTAAAATGTACCAATAAAATCTGACTGGAGAAAAAAATCCTAAAGGCAAGAAAAAAACCACTCCAAAACAAACACACAAACAAAAAACAGGCACAGCTGGACCAAGACAAACAATACACCAGTAATCAGATTCCCATGAAATGGGAGAAGTACCAAGACAAAAAATATTTGAAGAAATGGTAGCTTAATTTTTTAAACTTGATTATCAAAATATTTGACAATATCTACAAATCTGAAACACAAGAAACATGAGTTTGAGTAAAAGAAATCAATTTGAGTAGAAGAATTGAAATTCTGGAAATTTTTAAGGAAAAACAAAAAGATAATAAAAAAGACTACATCACACTAGATGGATACAAGAAGATGTGGAACAACATTTCATGAAAGTGAACAGAAAAAAAAATGAACTAAAGATTCTACACTCACAGAAAATTTTGCAAAAAAAAAAAAAGGTTGAAGTCTTTTCAAACAAAAGCTGAAAAGTTATGTCATCAGGAAATCTAGATTATGTAAATATTAACAGAAGTCCTTTAGGGCGGGGA